ACATATATATATATATATATATATATATATGTATATATATATATTGAAAATATTAACTTCATGGAAAATGTTTAAGCATTGTATGATAAGAATGTTTTTTATTTTTCAAAGTATTATGAAAGATATTTCCAATATAAATGGATAACTCGGGTCAGGAATATAAAAAAGACAAATATTAAAATATATTAATTAAACATTTATTTGATAAAGGCAACGAACGTATTAATCTTTGCCATTTATGCTTATGCTTTAATTTCTTAGGTCACCAAGATATTCATTAAAACTTACACCAAGCCCCCCTCAACTCACATAAATTTCGACAGTTTTAATATTTCCCCAACTTGAATTTGGAATCCGAAGAAAATGAGTCGAAAAGATAGAGACAAAGTAGACTGCTTATTTTGATATTTTGTTCCATTTTTCTCCGATTTCACCACATCTTGGTCCACATTATATCAGAAAAGGTCCACTTTACCAATCTAATTATATATATATATATATATATAAATCCAGCGCAGCATTTTCCCCAGGTTTTGCTTATGAGGGGTAAATATGTAATGTTGAAAAGTGTTGTAGCCAGGATTTGGGAGGGGTATAAAGAAAAAAGAGCAAATTACCAAAAATACTCCAAAGAAACAGTTTAACGTCCGATATTAGTGGAACGCGAGTAGAGAACTCACTAAGGAATGAGAGAAAAAAGAAATAAGTATTTGTTACTTTAATTCACACCTAGCTTCTCACTAGTAACTCCATTATTTAATTTTTCTGGTCGTTTTTAAATAAATCTAGTGAATCGTTTTTCTAAGAGTAAAGAGTGGGGGCAACTTCACTTTTTTATTATTTTGATTTTTTGCATCCTCTGACTGTCTTATTTTGCTCTGAATCCATCATCTGATGTGCTCATCAAAAATGAAATTATTCTTCACCTCTTCAGGATTCTGAACACAAAGACTGTTTAAGTTTATTAATGTACCCAAGTGCTATGGGATGGAGTAATCTTTTGTGACAAAGGGATTTCACGTTAGCAATCGAAACTGGGTCACTTCTGGTGCCGCCTCTTCCAGCTACTATTGATGTTCATTTCATCGTCTCTTATGGACGTTGCCATTTTCGTGAAAACCATTGAAGTTTACCAAATTTTCGTCCACTCTGCCCTGGCCATCATAACAGTTAGACTCTTCTTCCGCTCTCGTCTTCTCAGAGACGTCCTTGCGATAGGCCTTTTTGTAGAAGTTAAAGAACATAACCAGAAACAAAGCGGCGTGGCCAATAATGATGTAGACAAACCCAGGAGGAAAGTCACAATCGAAGTAAAGAGGGAGGACGCCGTGGATGAAGGCTACTACAAATTGGACCTGTGGAAAAACAAAGTATACCATTGTCATTGAAAAACGGTGAAACAAGTTACTACAAGTGTTTCTTCTGATTCTAAGAACTCATGAGGGAAAGCACACTAAATCTGCCATAACTAGGGCTCACCAGGCGCTATTTATAACGAACAACAACTGTTATGGTGTGAATCAGATTAAACAAGTGAATTGTAATTAATATCAATTTTGGTTAAATCATTTACAAATTAAATTTACAAGTAATAACAAAACATTATTTATTTATTTTTCATTTTAACACTGGTTATCTATTTATTTAATTATTATTCGAATTAACTTTACTATTATTTACAAGGACTAACGAACCAGCAAACTAGTATTTTTGTTACTGAAGGGGTCATGTAACCACAGCGTCAACGGGAGAAAACTACATTAATACTTCTAAAAACGCATGAGTCAAAGAAAAGGAGATCCGATCTATCTATCTGCTTGTCTGTCTGTTAACACGTAATACTTCTTTGTAACTTTCATATGCTTCAGGCCCGGCATGGCCA